TTAAAGGGACAGCAGCCTAATTTAGTTGCTATTGTCCGAGTCATTGATGTTAATCAAGCAACAACAGAAAGACAGAAAATCACTCACTGCTCTTGACTAAATCACTTTAGTAGCCCTAAAGATTTACGACTAAAACTAAATGGCATTTTAGTCAAACGACTATGACTAAAACGAAATCAAAATTTGCTGTCAAAATTAACACTGTTGCCAGGTTGACAAAAATAAGTAACACACTTAGCAGATATTTCCGTATTGAGCAAGTGTGAAGCTCTGTTTCGGGGATTACTCCTCTTTATATCAGGCAACTCTGGTTGTGTTCATCTGCGGCCAGATTAAACCTTGTTATAGCCTATACATTATACTCTATTCATTCTTTTTTAGAAATCCTGCACTTTTCTGTTTTAAACGCTGTTCTTGTATTCAAATTAAGCACGGTCCACTGCTGCGGTATCGAAACAGCTGTTTCTCAATCATCAAGTAGTATGTGACGAATAGGAGATGAGAATTTTTTTTTTTTTTTTTTAATATTAATCATTTTATGGGGATTCTTTTTTTTAATAATAATGATTATAACTTCTTGTTGTGTTTGTTTTGACAGATGACAGAGCAGAGGAAACAGAAACAGAGGATCGGGCTATTGGGACACCCCCAACACATGAACGTGAATCCCCAGCAGCCCGCCTGAACCCCCGTTCCACTGGCCAAGTGTCCTACAGCTGTCTCCTGCAGACATCAATCACATCAGCCTTTCTGTGTGCGTGTGTATGTCAAGACATCACAGACACATCATCACCACAACCTGCTGTGTACACCCAAAATAAATGGCTGTAGGCCACCAGTTTAAAAGACTTTCGCCCCCTTCTTCACATCCATTTGTGTGCCAAATGTTTCTGCGTGTTAAAGAGGAAGTGCGTTTGCATCAGTCACCTTCCACACGGTGAAAATGAGCTACACTAGATACTGCACGACTTACAAACATGTGCTGCAACCTGTAGATGCTGCTTGGACACACATCCTTTTGTATTGACCCATAGCAGTCAGTATTTGATGTCTTATTTTTGTATTTTTTGCAATATTAATATTTTAATATGCAACTACATCTGTATGTTATGTCTTAAAGTGACGGTGCAGTAATTTCTTTTTCTTTGGTTCTTTTGCTTTATGAATGTAATGAAATACATTAGAGGCCAGGTACTTGTAGGAATACTGTTTGCAAAGTCAAGTTTGATGACAGATACGATATATGTATATGGGGAAAAACAGCCTTTTTCGTATTTAAGTTAATTTATTTATATCAACATGCTTAAAGGAGATGCTTATGCGAATGCTGCCAATTTAGAGTTCTTTAATTCTCATGAATAAAATCAGGTTCTGTTTGGTATTTAGGAGCTCTTTATTAAGCTTTATGGCTTTTTGTTTGTGCTGTCAGATTTATGGCCTTAGAAGTCATATACAAAGTAATAATAGATGAACTGTTCAGGCAGTTAAGATTTTTTTAAAATAATGCACTAAAATAATTGAACTCGTATCATTCCTGTCATTATAGAGCCATGTTAATTGCGCCGTTGTATATTCCTGCAACTCAGAAGGTGAAGCGCAGGATGAATATTTGCTGACAAAAGCAATCTTTGTCAAGTTTTCTTCTGTAATCAGTCACATTTTTCTAGACAATTTTCATCTTTTAGCTGAGCAAGGCAGGTCACTTTCTTAATACTATCCTATTTTTTTTGTTCCTTTATGTAATTTTTCTTGTTATACATATATATATATGTCGGCAGGTCTTTGCTTTTATATAGAGAGATATGGTTCCATAGCATCTGAATAATTAACAGCACTGTTACTGAAAAATAAGCCTACAGTACTACTGATTTAATAGGTTAATATA